GTAGTACTGATAGAGAAAGGGATCCAAAGATGCGGGGGAAGATGCGTTCAAAAGGGCCAATGCTGCCTGCACAAGCCAACACCTCCTATACGAGTGCATGATGCAATCTGACCACTCAGAGTTTGAAGGGCCCCTCAAAACCCTAAACCACCATTTTCCAAAAGGCATGCTCTGACGACGATCTGCATTTTTTGAAAGTCGACATTCTTGCCTAGGTACGTTCTTTTGAACTTTCCACGCTCAACAAGAAGTTGTACATTAGAGGCCACGTACATTTGTACGTACAATTGACAACGTTTGTAAGCAACATATATGCCGTCAGCTAATGCACTAGATCGATAATTCACAGCTCTCTTGTACCTTCGCCTGGCCAATTCAGAAATGGTAGGTCCGCAACCTCCATGTCTGATTATGAGCCCCTTCTGAGTTGCAAGCTGGCGCAGCGGCGCCACTGTTCAAGTCTTGCAGAGGTCAAAAACTTGAAAAGGCTGGATTTCGACAAGCAATGATATCCAGTATGCATGATGAACTTGTCTACACGGCAATGCTCGTTGAGGAAAATTCGTTTGCATCCACGCTTTTCCATCACAACTACAACAAAACCGACACAAGAGACCAACCAAGCCGACTCAAGAGACCAAGCCGCCACAACAACTTCCCTCCTGCTCACAGTAAGTCGACCATATCCGCTCACATGAGCAATCATTATAACACCATGTCCAAGCGACTCCAAATTTACCCATAACGCTCAGTTTAGAGTCGCAACCCTGCTTCCATGAAGACAGTTTATCCTCGTCTTTCGTCGATCAATCTCAACCTGGTCTCGCCCAGTCTTGATGCAGCGTACGACCAAAGACGCAAGGGCAGAATCTATCAACCAGTGGTCGTCCCCTCATGTTTCGTGTCAAGCTTTGCACTTCCCGACATCGCCTAGAGCCTTCACATTCCGCTGCTTTGCATTGTCGAGCCTTTGCGCAGTTTTCCAGACTCAGCGTCGGACCTGAAGCCTTCACATTCCGCTGCTTTGCATTGTCGAGCTTTTGCGCGTTCCTCCAGACTCAGCGTCGGACCTACACAACCCACGACTGGCCTCGCATCCTTTCAGCGTCACATCAAGGCTTTGCAATCTCCGATTCCTGCAAAACCCAGAATAGTCTTAGCGGTAAGCGGCAATGCAATAAACAAGGCAATGCGCTACTGAAAACGGGGGCAAATAATGGGAGCAAGTGATGATATCAGATACTCCGAGAACCGAATCAATAAACGATTGCAGATTTGATTTCCTACGTTGCAGCGCCCGTCAAACCTCACAGACAAGCAAAAGGCGCGGATTCACAAAGGGCGTCGGCTTCCGGTGAAGTCGTGGCGCGGACATTTCGCACAGATTGTGCTGGAGAAGTACTTGCGTATGGAAAAACAAATGGACCCGTCCAATAGAATCCGCCGGAGACGCAAAGGCCGGGTTGCCGCGATGGGCAAACCTCGACCCCTCGGAAAACCCATGATACTGGGGAAAAAGGGATAGTTGACTGCCAGGGGTGCCTATTTGGTGAAGAGGCTGAGCTCATGATCTCACCTTCGCAGGGGCCGTCGCACCTTTGGGTACGTAGAGAGGCTTTGAGGGCTGGGCACTCGAGGGGCTCCTGCGAAGCAATCGAGAGTTCAATCAGCAGATTAACGTAGATTAAATGACCAAAAACCAGCGGCCGGAGTCGGTTTGATAAAGAGCAACTGCAAGGACGAGCGACGCAGCCGAAGACCTGTCAAAAGGACAGTCCCGACACAAAAGACTCTCTGTTGCCCGAACAGAAGCAGCTTAGAGGACCAGTGGTTACTTAGTTGCTACAATGCGTCCAACGAGAGCATAATAGCTGAAGAAAATCGCCTACCAAGATCGTTGTCATGAAGACAGAACGGAAGCATGATCTATCTCGTGCGGTTCTTGTAGCTATAGATGCTTAAAATCCTTCAGACGCTAAGCTGAGCGCGTATCTCCTCGATGCAAGCACTGACGTAGACTGCTTCTCGTTTTTCTTTTTGACCTAACAAAGCTCTAAGGGAGCTCGGATGAGATTTATGGTGAGCTTGAACAGAATCCCGCTGATCCTGCAAGTCTACAAAAAGCAAATGAGAGCCGCTTACTTGGATCCTATCTGCCGGTTGCTACCCACCACTCGCGCGGGTCCCCCGCTCATCGAGCCCTGTTGAACGTACGCGTTTCCCCCATTCACACTGCCCCCGTTTGCGCTCGGCCCATTCACACTAGGCCCGTTTCCGTTAACCACGTGGAGGGGTCCCTGCCTCGGCACATTCTGAACGTCGGTCCTGGGTCCGCTTTTCGCATTCCCCGCCGGAACAGAGCCCACATTCTGCCCCCCCGAAACGTTCTCACCATTGCTGGCGGCCGGAACCCGCCCGTTGCCCTGCGGCCGGTTGCCTGCCACGTGGCCATTTCCCCTGTTTGACACGTTGGCTTTCCCACCGGCAGGCTTCCCGTTCGCCGCGGCGGGGGGCTCCGCGGGCCTGCCGTTCGACCCCCCCGAATCGCTTCGCGGCCCGTTCTGCTGCTGGCGCTGGCGCTGCTTCTGGGCGGCCGCGTTCGTTGCGATGGGGGTCACTGCTACCTGGGGTGGTGAACCCCCCTTCGCGGTGGACTCGGAAACGGACCCCGCTGGGGCGTTCTGAGCCGCGGCTCTGCTGGCTTCCTGGGGCGTCGGACTGTTGGAGGCGGTGGATTGTGCAGGGTTTCCGCTGGAGGGGGGGGTGCCGCGCTTCTGCTGGGCTTCGGGGGTGAGGTAAACCTTGTCGTCAGGGGTGACGCGGAATGACTACACAAAACAGCGAAGGAGATTTGAGTTGAGCATTCACAAGAGGTGTCGTCAGTTCTGGAAACGGAGAAACGCTTGGACTTTTGAAGGAGCTGTGGACTAGAAGGAAGTAGAAACGTCGAACATCAAAGCTGCTATACACCAATCCTTCACGAGCTTGCGAACAGTATGCAAAGACAGACGAACTTGCGTGTCCTTCTAGAAAACATTCGCAGAAGGCGATGCTTGTCATGGAAAATCTCTCTGCAAAACGTCCGAGCAAGCAAACAAAAGCCACCCTACCTTAGCCGCGACCTAGGCAATTTTTAGCGACTAACACAGATCGGCGTGTTGAAAGCATGACAGGCCCAAAACGGATCAGTGCCCGGTGTGATACATCACGTAAGGTGAGCCTTGCGCCGCTTGAGCTGAAGCACGAGCGAGATCATGGATTGCTTTGAAAACCTAGTGCCCACTTTCGGAGCTGGAAAAAGAGCTCCTAAAACCCCCCTCCTCACCTGCGGATGCGCAGCCAGGAACTCGCGCAGCGTGCCATGCTCCTTGCGGTACGTCCTCCACACGTGCGGCGCGATCCGCGGCGTCAGCTTGTTCGCCAGCACGGTGTTGATCGCGATCGCGTCCTCCGCTTTTCCCGGAATCAGCTCCGCGAAACACGCCAGGAGCCCTTCTTCGTCCAGCATCTTCCCCCGGTGTTCCTGACCCGGTCTCGCGTTCTGGGGCATTTGAGTTTGTGCAGAGACTGGGGGATCCCCCTGGGCGGGAGGTTTCGCGCTTTCCGTGGGGGGGCGGTACGGCTCCGGCTGCCGGGGGGGGAACTGTACAGGGTTCTGAGGGGGGGGCGGGTTAGCGGGCGGGTTTGCGCTAACCGGCGCCGGTTGGGGTTCGACCGCCCGCCGCTGGAGGCCTTGCTGGTGCTGGCCCGGCGGGGGGGGGTCGGTTTGGAGGTTGGGGGGGTGAACCGGTTGCGAGGACTGGGGTTTGGAGGCGGGGTGCATTGGTTGGACTGCCCGGCTGCCTTGCGCGAGGGGGGCCGCGGGAAGGGGGTGTGCCGAGGGGAGGATGGAGGGGGGAACGCCGGGGGGGAGGATCGGGGGCGCAGGGGTGGCCTGTGGAGGAGAGAGGTGAAGTTTGGGGCAACGCGTCTTTGCAAAATAAGGAATAATTGCACACTTGACTTTGCGATTGGAAGAAATGGATGCACGAGAAAAACTCATGGGCATACTGACCGGGACAGGTAGGCCACTTGACAAACCAACCTCTCAAAAGAACGTGATCGATATCTGATATCCCCGGCTAACCTCAGCCTGAGAATAATCAAATTGCACAAAGATCGCCTTGAGCGAAAGAAGCCCATGCTCACCAAATATGCCTCATCTTGCAAGCCCAGACGAGATCCAGGGTGATGTGAACGGTTATTACTTACGCCCTGGTCGAACTCTTCATGCTTTTAAACTCAACAACGATGACCAATCACTTGACGCCAAATAAGGTAGAACTGGCCATACCTCGGCCGGCCCACGAGTCCCCGAGCTCGGCGCGGCGGCGCCAGGTGGCGGCACCCCATTGGGCAGACCCTTGTGCGAAGGCTCCGGCTTCGCTGCACCAGCGGGGGCCCGGGTAGCGCTTGCGAGTTGTTCCTGCATCTGGCGAACCACCTTCTCGTGGTACTGCTGGAAGTCTTCGAGCTGCGAAAAGTAGGGTTGCGGGGTTTGCTTCGGGATCCTAATGTTGTGTTTTAGAATTAGTGGACTTGACTTCTGCTGTGCACCGCTGCGGGTCACTTCATGAAGTTGAGAGTACACGGAATAGTCCGGTTTGCAATAGTACTTTTAAGTACATTCTAATCTGCAGAACATAAGTGTATGTGTTCGGTACGGGTGTCGAAGATACCGCAGAGTTAGTTATAGAGGAGCATGGACACTGCAACCTCCAGTGGCGTCGCGTTCAAGCACTGAAAAACGATTGCCGGCTGTAAAAAATCAGATGAGGCAGGCGAAATTAGGCACCGAAGCACTCCAGAATGTGCATCCACTTGCATCAGCAAAACAGGACCTATGGTCGAGTTCTCGACCACCATAGAACCCATGTGGGCGAAAACGAAGCGACTCGGAAAAAAGGACGTGCAAAAGACGGGCAATCGGAACATGTCAGCGACCCTGGTCGCAATAGCTGTTTTAGCTCCCTCTTTGCGATAGTACGGCGCACTAAGATGGCTTTCGAGAAGTCTTATAAAGTAAACGCTTCCTGCAATCGAATGACACAGTAGGGGAAGGACTCTCGTCCTGCTGCCCTCTCCTCGCTCCGCCTTCTCCAGCAACGGGCGATCCCGATGTCCTCACTTACCGTCTTCTCGTGGAAAGGAAAAATCAAAGCTCTTAAACCTCTCAAATTCTGAAATAGTCCCAAACCCCACCAACCTCAAACCACCTGCCGCTAGACAACCCTCTTCTCATGCCACGAATGCCAGGCGGAGGTGGAACCAACGCAGCGTGGACCCAAAGCCTCCTCCACCCCTGAGAATCCCACATCCCTCATAGGATTGTTACACTTGAGCGTGAAGAGGGTCCGATCGAGACGACCCGAGCCCGATCAAGCTCGGGCAAATGCCCTGTTGGTTACGCTGCCCGAATTTGGCAGCTGCCGGAGGCCCCGATTTCGGTCGGGGGCTCGGGCAAATGTCGGGTCGGGTCGTAAAGTGCCCGACCCGAGGAGCATCGGGTTGTGGGCAACCCAATCTGAATTTCTTACAGGCTGAGGTCAGCCGGAGGTCCGGCTGATGGGTCTCGGGCCGTTTTTCGATCGCAATTCTTTAGTGTAACAACCCTATCAAGCCATAGAACCTCAAACCCACCTGCCGTCGGGCGACCGTCTTCTCATGCAACGGCCGGTGGGAGGCATCCTGCGGAATGCTGCCCCTGGCGCAGGTGAAACAAGTAAGAACAAAGACCGCCCACCTCTCAAACCCTGAATACGAGGAATCTTGACGACCAAAAAACCCTTAACACCATACTCTAGAAAACCTCAAACCTCAACCCACCTGCCGTTGAGTGACGGTCTTCTCGTGCCACCACCGGTGCGCGGCGACTAGCAACTGCTGCCCCTGGCGCAGCTGGAACAACTAGAGCATGAAGAGCCGGATTGCCTACATCCAGAAACCCTGAATCCTAATTTTGAAGATCTCAAAAGGTCGACCCACCTGCCGCTGCGCAACCGTCTTCTCGTGCCACGACCGGTGAGCGGCTTCCTGCAGGTGCTGCCCCTGGCGCTGGTGGAACAACTAGAGCAAAAGTTCCCACCTCTCAAACCCCGAAAATGAGGTATCCCAACGGGTATGGAAACCGGAAAACCGCCGGAAAACCTTTGTATTTAACCCACCTGGCGCTGCGCGACCGTCTTCTCGTGCCATGCCCGGTGCGCGGCTTCCTGCAAGTGCTGCCCCTGGCGCTGGTGACAGTACTAAAGCATTGAAAAAGAGTTGCCCATATTACAAAACCCTAAGATAAAACCCTAGGGCTTCAAATTACCTGCCGCTGCGCGACCGTTTTCTCGTGCCATGCCCGGTGAGCGGCTTCCTGCAGGTGCTGCCCCTGGCGCTGGTGGAACAGCGACATCTGGTCCATCTGCGCCTTCCACGCGGCCTCCGCATCGCGCAGCTGCTCGTCCTTAGCCCACGCCGAGTCCTGCGCCGCTTGCAGCTGGAGCACGAAAAAGCGTGTGACGTCAGCCTTGTTACAGACTTCGTGCATACTCCAAAGGTGATGAACAGAAAACCAGTGCCCACTTATGAGGGAAAAAGTCAGCTACGCAGAGTCCTGCACTGCTTGCAGCTGAAGCACGGAAGAGGTGTGTGACGTGAGACTCGTCATAGCCATCTGGAGGTGAAGCACGAGAGAGGTTACGTAAACTTGGACTGTGTATGAAGTCTCATTTCCAGTTTTCAAAGTGGTTCCGTTCGAGATCACTGCCCACTAAAGAGGGGCCGAGCCTGGCGATGAAGTAGTAAAGCCCAGCTTGTCCTTGGCCCACGCCAAGTCCTGCGCCGCTTCAAGCTGAAGCAGGAAACAGTTTGTAACAACAGACTAGGCGTAAATTCTTGAGGTCCAATCCCAAGGCTTTCGGAAGAAAAGATCCATTCTGAGACTCTCATATCTCAGGCACAGTGTCAAATTTCACATTGCAATATCCCGCTACGTCATACTTCGTCATCTTCGGCTCCATAAAAACAAAACCCCGGATCGAACCCCAAACGCCCGTTTACCTGCTCGTCCTTCTCCTCCAGCTTTTGCACGTGCTCCTGCAACTGCCGCTCCAGCCCCGCGATGCTGTTCGTGTGCCGCTCGATGATCACGTGCCGCGCATTGGCCTCCGCAAGCGCCTCCTCCTTCTCCTTCCTGAAGAACCGGAAAGTCACGACTCGCTTCATCGTTGTATGCTATGCTCGAAATTCGGAACCCTTTGAGACGACACCTGGTCAACATCAACTCATTTCCGGATACCAGCCCGTTCTTTCCTCTTTTCCCTCCTCCAATTCTTCTCTCGTGCTCGTGTTCGTTCTCCAATCAGTAACTTCTCGACAAGTCCGACTTTTCTTAGCTCGCTGATTGTCCAGCCTTCACGAGGTCAATTCAAAGATATCCGTCATCGTTTCTCCCTGACATTGCGGTTCAAAAAGAGTCCGATTGAAATGGATTACGAAATTAATCACGGCGACCAACATCGCTGTACTCATCCAATTGCGACAACCCAACCCGGGTAAACACCGTGAGCCCTAACGACTACTGAGCATGACGAGACAACATGCCGGAGCCACAAACAAGATTAAATATGGGTGGCTAAAGCCCGATTCGAAGCTTAAAAGAGAACCAAGAATTGACGTCAGAGCAAGGATTGAAAGAGCCTCGATGTGTGAATTGATTGAAAGCTTCCCTAGCAAGAAGTACCGGGATGAGTCCACTCACGTCAAGACTCTGATCTGGTTCTCCTGATCCCGTAACGCACTGTTGTTCCTCCAATTCTGCAACAGAAGGTTGGTGCTGTCAGCTAGCTCTTGACCCCTATCTGACCCCTATCACAGTTTTCAATCTTCAGTCCCTCCACCCCCCTCGCGTTGCTCTAGGCTGCCTCAACTATGCAAATCTTAAGCAACTTATAACACCCAACAAACTTTAAGACAACCTCAAAGCACAACCAGACGAACACCAGACCCTCCTCGTCGCTCTCCTACTGGCTGCTTTGACTACGCAAGAACTCAAGGAACATGTACACTCCTTAAACCTCAAAACGACCTCAAACAACGACCAGATCCCGAAACATGCATCGAACTGGAACCCCTCACCGCCTCGTCGCTCTGCTCCTGGTTGTCGCGCAGCTGCTGGTCCTTGCGGTTGAGCTCGTCCCCCAGCTGCTGGATGTGTGCGTCCCGCTCCCGCAGCTGACCCCGCAACTGATTTGCTTGCGTCTCCACTTCCCGTGTGTCGGCTTGCATCTTCTGTTGGACCTTCTGTGACTCCTGCACCCAGGGGGGATCAAAAATTGCATCTTCCAGGGCACAGGACTGGGGTTACGTGCTCATTTAGAGGGGCTATGAGGAAACGTTCATGGGCTTGACTTTACTACAAAGTCCACTGACAAGCCCAGTTGCTTTTATGTTTAATACAATGGGACTCTTGCTGCAGAGAAATATCTAGATACTGGCGCATCCTGGGTGGTGGCTAGAAGTTGTGTGGTTTAATTGCGAGGTTAGAGGCGCATTCCGCGTGGAGATGTGACCATATTTGGACTTTATAAGAAAGCTCCTACAACTCCTACAACAACTCTTCTGTCGTGGGAGGGGGGTACGATTCCAAGGTTCGGTCCCAAGGTTGTAAGCCAAGCGCCTTTGACTCCGCCAACCAGGTTAGCTTCTAAAGCTTTTGGGTGCCCCGAACATGGTTTCCCACAAAGCCCACATAACCCTCAAACATTCCTACCAAATTTACAGCGCCTCCGAACAATGACCAGAGCTGATTGTGTCAAAGAATAAACAAGGTAGTCGTAGTCACTAAGCTTTTCGCACACATTCCCAGATCCTACCAGCACCTGTTAGCGCCCTGAGTCTGATGTTGCGAACGCCCTGAGCTCAACCAAGTCCTCAAACCTCCTTTCAAGCCTCTCACTGATTAACCAGTGAGAGCCCACCAGTGGCACTAGAAATCAGATGAGCAACAGCATTAGGGTTTATTGACCGTTCCTCTGCTGGTGCATGCCTTTAATTATTGTGATCGCCGACACTGATATCAATCACTCATCACACAGGCTAGTGCCACCTTGGATTTTGACGAATGAGGCTGCCACTTCCAGGACTAAGAAACATAAGCATAAGAGGTGCCATTTCAAACTCTGAGAATCACAGGATAAGCAGTGAAAGTATCTTAAGCGCGCAGCAGCTCCCAAACCCTCACCTGGTATGCTCCCTCCAGGTTCTTCCGCAGCTTTTGCTCTTCTGCAAACTGCGCCTGGAGCTGCTCGAGCTGCTTCCTCAGCGCAGCGACCTCTGCCCGGTCAGCCAGCTTAGCGCGCAATTGCTCGATGTTCCGGTTCAACTCATCCCGCTGTTTTGTGTACTCCTGAAGCTGTTGCTCGTCGGAAACGCTCAGCTCAACCTTTGGGGCTGGCTCAGGCTTTGAGGCCTGCGTTTACGTATGAAAAGCCCTTTTTGACTTCTAAGCTGTGAGCTTGCCCATCAATGATCTGGCGTTCGCCGCGATGTAGAAGAGCAGGAGGGTTGGGCAACCAGATAAATGCTAAGGAGAACGTGCATCCTTTCGGGAAGGCCTGTAAGCAATACTATCTTTCTTGACCAAAATGTTTTCTTGACCAAAATGTCTAGAAAGTGGAGCATTGAGGTTTCTGAATGAAACAAGATGACCGCTTTGGTCAATGGGTTTCACACCTGCAGCTGCTCCGGCCTCTTAGTAGACATAGTGAAGGAGCAATTCAAAGTACAAAATGGGCTTGAAAGCTTGGGTACTTAATGCCACTTGCAAGGAGGGCCATCAGAGCTGCCCAGTCCTTACAGGTTTTTGAAGGAAAAGCAAATACGGACCTTGAGCTTTACTATGAAAGTTCAAACACGGTAGTCAATCTCCAATCGAGTACGGAGAATCAAAACCTGCAAAGCTGCAACCCCTTCAGACCCCTGCAGTATCTTTTGAATGCTTTCAAGCGATTGCCACCCTTTGCTCAAGTTTCTACACCTACTAAAGACCTGATTTTCCAGGGTTTCCTGCTGAAAGCAACTTTTTGATGAGGTGGCGTTAAAACCCTTGTGACTCAAGTGACAGAAGTGGCAGATTACTTGAAATGCAAAAACCCATTAATTCAAAGGCCCTTCAAAAAGACTTCCAAAGAGTGGTGGCATTCCGTTGAAGCAGTCCAGGACTATTATAACAACTGGCATTGACATATTGCGAGATGACTTGCGATCATCCGACCTCGAGCCTGAGCACAATGAGCGCTCTGAAAGTCGACGAGACTCTTTCCCCAAACCTCCCTATCATTGGAAGGGTTTCTCCCTGATCATTGAGAGGGTTTTTATTCACGGCTTCACACCATTTTGAACCTTTTTTCGACCACATAGCAGCTCTGCTTCAATAGGCATCAAGATGAACTCCCAAATTGAGCTTCACAAACTAATTGAACCCAAACAAAACCCACCTCGATGTGTGCTGGCACCCTGCCTGCATTTGTCCCCAGATGCTCACGTTCAGCCTCTCGTAACCCATGCTGCCTCATTCCAGGCCTGTCCACAACCTCGGAGTCGCTCGATTGGCTGCTCCCAGGCTGAGAAACTGGAGCCCCGAACCTGTGCGACCGTTCCCGCGTGTCTCGCTTCCTAAAAGATCTGTTGTGGTTGGGGCGATCTGGGCCCTGACTTTGATGTGGCAGCTGATTGTGAGGCTGATTCACATGTTGATTCTGAGACTGGTGCTCATGCTGACTTGGGGTTGGATTGGGAGGCTGGCTTTGGTTCTCAGACTGGTTGGGCGGGCCCTGCCCCTGGCGCTGCCGCCCACTAACCTGCCCTCGGTTTGGTTGACCAACCACCTGCCATTGAGCTTGGTTCCGGCGCTGCTGGTTGAAAGGGAGGCGCTGCGGCTGGGCTTGGCTGCCAGGCTCCATCTACAGAGACAATCTAACCTTCCCCAGCTATCCCCCCACGTTTTCAAGCTGGCCACTAACTCATGCAAGGATGCAGATTAGGCGAGCTTGAGCTTGAGCTTGCCCTGCGCGCCACCACCAGCGATGCACCACAATTGAGAACGAAGAACTCTGCAAAAGCAATGGGTTCGTCTGCAAGGAAAGAAACAGAACAGAGTAGAGAAAATTCTGCACAGCAAGCTTTCAGCAAAACGATAGCTTTCTGGCCACCGTCCACATGCTCTCTTCGAGACGGTTGAAGAGGGTACGTCGTCGTAATTCAAGCCAAGGATGGCACGGAACTTTCTTTCTTATCCGACGGCTGTGCGTTGCATTCCTTCCCGCCGGATCGATTAGGGCTTTCACATGCGTCCGATGGTTGTCCCTGATTTTGACCAATTTGTCGCCCCCTAAATCAACAGGCTGCACTTGACAACTTTGGGTAAAACCGGTGGGTTAACGGCGGGTTACGTACTTGACCAAGTCGACTCAGAACCTTCCAAAAACCCTGGGGCTCGACCTCGGAAGGGCCGCGTCGCGCATCGCGCGGCCCAGGCCCGGGCCAGCTAGCCGCACTGGCCGCGCGCACGCCGCGGGGGCAGGTGGCATGTAACAGGGGACTCATCAAACCCTGCATCTGAACTCCATTCAATGGGACCTCTCGATCGAGATCACGACACGACCTCTGAATTACGAGCACGTCATTTTGTGTGCTTCTCCTCCACCCGAAAATGTATGGAGCCGGTAGTCAATTTGATAGTCAAGCATCAATGTTGGACGGAATCTTGGGGCAGGTAGCCGGGTCGTCAAAGGGCAGAGTCTTCCAGCGACAGCATGCTGACCTTGAATAGTATGAGACACAACAAATCAATCCGCCCGCTGAACCCCGTGGATCCAAAAGTACGTTTTCTAATTCCACTCGCGTGCAAGTGCCAAGCGCACGGTTACGGTTACACAACCTTCGTAACGCCTTCGACACCAAACTGATCAATGTAACCTTTTTAATGGCCAGCGTACAATGGTGTTTTCCCGCCAGGCTGTCCGTCAATTGCTGGAAAGGATACGAGACTAATGAAATCACAACCGGCGTCGTTTCGAGTTCCGGAAAAGCCCACATGAAGGTCTTTCAGACCCAGTCTATGTGTTTGCTTTTATGCAACTTGTCCGTCTTGATGGCGCTTCTCGTCGGGTTGTAATATGCTGCATAGCAGCAAACACAGAGGGCAACATTAGCATCCAGAATTCTGTTCTTTGTTTCTGCGGGTCCTCTCAGAAAGTTTCACCTATGCTTCATATTTTGACGGCTCAAGGTTGCACATCTGCGCGCAGAAGCAGACTATGGGCTACCTGTTCTATTTTTTCGGTTGTGCTGATAGCAGGATAGCAGCGATTCGAAGGGGAATTGAGTACGAAGCGCGTACCCGTAATGCAGCATTATTACAGGTGCTGTCAAAGCACAAAACTCTAGATTGGTGCCAGGATCTCACCAGGTCCAGGGGGCTTGATATGCTCGGTGCTCGACTTGCTCATGTCTCTTTCCGTTTGTCTCGAGAAGGCTGCCCTCGCCACGTTCGACTCGATTGAAAATGCGTGCTGTGGGTAAAAGCAATCCACCTTTAGAGATTCGCGATGACGTCTAATACTCAAGGTGGCTGATCATGTGTCGGTCGGACCATGGGCAACAACAAAGAAGAAATACTTGTTCAGCCGAATAAGATCAGGCGGAATCCTAGGCAAGCCTTTTCAGCACACAAAGATCCTTCTTCTTTCTTTCTGAGCTGGTCACCGGAAAATTCCCTCAAAGGGCATGAAGAGAAATGATGAAAGCTCTGTTCGATTTGCCCGTTTGACTCACCGAAGGTTCGTACGTGCCTGGCCCTGGCACAAACGACTGCTGCTTCCGTTTCGTAAAAGGTTTCCCAAAGCGGTCGACTATCGTTTTCGCGAACATACTGCAGGAGGAGAGGAACGAGCGAGGTCGGTCACGCCCCACTGCCCTTACGTCTATTTGTCAGATAGAACATCCTGAGAAGTCGTCCATCATTTAGTATTTTTAATCGAGGTGGCACACGTGTGGGAGTGTAGTAGATTCTCTTGCAGAACGTTGAATTGAATGGTTTTGGGAACTTGAAAGTCGTTTAAATCAACGCTGACCCCTCTAAAGCCGTTCGCAGATTGTGCCGTAGGTTTTGGAAGCCATCGGAGCCATCAAGTCAAGCCAAAAACAGCAAGCGCTTCCCTACAGGGGAGTCTAGTAATAATCATAGGAGCAAACCGTAGGAAACTGGCGAATGCTGACACGCTTACCTAGACTCCATGGCTAAACTCGACGTACTTCTTGACTTGCAAAGCGGTTCTGCAAATTGGAGATTTGTCATCAACCTTTAAAGGTCGGTGTCTGTGAGGTAGGAGCGAAGCAAAGCAGATGCAGTCGTCCAAAACGATAATAGTTGTGAGATCTCTTTGGATTCGAAGAGACGCCCTTCTACATAAAGTCGTTACCAAGTTGCCCAAGAAGCCCAGAAACAGACGTCAAGCGAGCAGGGCTCAAGATCCTACTTTCGTATACGATTCGATCGATGACTTTGGATGTATCCTCAAGGCTCGTGCATTGTCGTACTAGGGCCTTGGCCGAGCCAAAATCTTCTTTTTGGGACAGGAGAGTCGGTGGCAATTCTCACCGTACGATCCTGGCCCCGGGCCGGCTTCGTCTTCCCTTTCAACTGGAACAGCCGGGTCCAGGCTCGTCAGCAACACCTCCTGCAAAGAATTCCACGTTTCGAAATTCTCAAGTCGTGATCGTTCACTGAAATTTTCGTCAACCGCGCTTCAAGCGGGAGTTCGATGTAAGAAAAGACGCTATGCAGCGTGTCATGATGCAGGATGCAAAGCCTGTCTTCTGCTCCTGACAAGTTGAGCTTTCCCACTTTGAACTTCTCGAGCGGTTTACACCCGTGAAGTTTCGTGCTTCTATGCCTTGACATCCACAGAGCTGTTATCGTCCATTTCCGCTCACGCCTTATCTGTATGATGTCCAATTGATCAGCAAGCTCTTTCTTACAAGCACCAACCGAATGTGTGTGGAGGCAAGCAGTCTCCAGCAAAGACGACTTTCACCTAAAGAGGTAAGACGTTCCTCACCTCCGCTCGCGAGGTGGATCGTGTAGGCGACTCCCCTCGTGCCAGTGACGTTGACCGGAACGCAGCTGACGGAAGCATGACGCCAGGCTCGACTCTCTCGCCCAGGGCGGCAGTGCGGGCCAGGGAGACGTCACCTATTCCTAGTGGCTCCTTGTAACTCCCTGCAATTTCCAGAAACGTCGCCTGACTCACAGTGCCAGGAGTAGCGAAATGCGCTCTTTTTCTGATTTTCAAAGGTCATACGTCAGCAATATATCAACCACATCTGTTTGAGCCTCTTCGTTTGCGCGCAATGTTTCGCGGACGCCTTCTGTCTGACCTTTTCGGCCCTTCGTGAAAGCTCAACTCGCGCTGGTGAGTGTGCACCGCCTACCATGGCCTCCCTCCTCAGCAGTTTGGCTCGTTAGGAGCACTGAACTCTGAACAAAGTCTCGGGTGGATTATCATGGAAAAGGGCCGGAAAAATTCTGACTGACCAGGCGCGGGCGAGCATGCCGCGGAGCGGCTCCCTCGGTAGCAGTCCATCCGACTGCTTCGGCTCCAGAAGGCGGAGTGACAGGAAGGCAGGGGCTGCGACGCTTTGAGAGGCTGCAAGAACGTTGCAAAAAGCATCACGCCAGAGTTTTGATGCTCGTTCCGAATCTCGTTTAGCCCAGCCAGCGGTTGGGAGCTTTCTTCTCGGCGGCTGCGCAAGATCGCTCATAGGTGTTTGGACGACTCGTAGATCCGGGAAAAGGTCTCTGCGTGCCATGTCAGCTACCTCTTAGAACGTCGCAACTTCTGGAAGCTCGTCTCGCTGCCATCTGCACCTAAAACGTACCAAAACCTCTACTCAAACTCCTCCGCAAACGTCGGTTGTCGTCAAGGGCTTGAGCTCCGTCCTTTTACCACACAATCTCACTCTGGTTCTCCTAGAGGGTTCGTCTCAAATCTGTGACTATACCACTCAAGGTTAGAGAATAACGCTGCGACATCTGACTGTGATGCTCCCACCGGGCCATTTTCCCTGTGACTCACCTCATACTCGCCGGGCCCAGGAGTGTTCGACATAGACTGCCCCAACGGAAGGGAGTCCTTTGGAGGCGCCAGGAATGGTGACGTGGCCTGCCGCCAGTTGTGGTCTAGATGGGGGGGCAGTTTCTCCGCCGTGTAAAACCCCGGCCCGGGAGCCCTACGTTCCTCTTTCTTTCGGAAACGCTTCTCCTTCGACACGAAACCGGAGCCATACCCCAGCTTCGAGAGCGAGTCGCTCTTGTAGTTGGGGGAAGCGGGACGGTGGTAGAAACCGGGGCCGGGGACTTCGTTCTGGGAAATAAAGTCAGCTCGGTTTGATTGAAGATCACGGCGCCCCAGAAAGACGAAGCGACCGTTCACATCAAAAACGAGGACAGGGTCTGAAAATGCAGACTTTTGCGTCTTTGCAGTGAGAAAAGGGTGCTCCTTCCGGACAAATCACACACACCCTTACCAAGAAGGACATCCGTATCAGATTTTGGTTCGAAGAATACGGAAACCGAAGGATTTGTAAGGCCCGGACTTCTACAACCAAATCAGCACTCATGTTGGCTCCGAATCGAGAGAGAGCGTTCAGGGGTTCCTTCCTCACCTCTTGCGAATGTGCAAATCTGGTCGCGCTCTTGCTGAACCCCTTGGGGGCTTTGCTGTCCTCTTCCACAAAGGGAGGTGGAGGGTGCCTGCAACAGAGACGTCTATTTTCTGATGTTCTTCATCATGAGGCCTCAGTTCGTAAACATGCCATCCTTATTCTTGACAGCAGGTCCTCACTCCCTCTCGCAAACCAGACCTTTGCATTGGATTTGTATGCTGAAATTCCAGGTTGAGGATCCCAGACAGGGTTTTACTTTGTAGATAATATCTGCGACCGCAACTTCTGTTATGCCTTAAAGTAGACAGCTTTTGCATGTCAGAACTCACTTTGAGGGGATAGTTGGAGCGGTGGAGCCCAAGGTTGAACAGAGCTGCCTTTCTGAAGGGAAGAATAGCAAGAGCTGGTGAGGTGAGGGTGATGCACCTGATCGCAATAGCTGCTCCTGTGTCTTACGCGCTGTCGATAGAAAAGAGTTAAAAAGCAGGCCTTTCGGATCTCGAAGAGACTTTCAGAAGACTCGTAACTTACTAATGCGGAACTGGACCCCTTAGGGATGTTGCAGTGATCCAGCTTTCCACTGGTACACCAGCGTATAGGACCCTGTCGTGAGCTGCACCTTATTTGGTCTAATCGTCTTTCGATTTTTGAACTTTCCTAATGCACCCAGCCGCCTTACTGGAACGTAGCTTGACTTCAGAAGTAAGCAAACAATGCTGCGAGTATTATGTATTCCGTTGATAGTCGACACTATCCTTCAAGAAAGACTACAACGAGCTTTGAAATGTCCCCGCTAGCTGCAGAAAGGGAGGTCAGAAATGCTACCGGATGCAATTGCACTCTTATTGCTAACCGGTGCTGCTGTCTTGGCACGACAAAGCGAACAAAGAGCAAAGCTGAATGAAAGTGAAAAGAAAGTGGCACTTTGCCTCGAAGATTTTACTTGCATCGCGCATTCTGCTCACCTGCATGTCCTGCATTGCCTTGCGTTTCCTTCTTCGATCGACGGCCCCCGACCTGTCGCTCCACGACTTTACCAGGAGCGTACATTGTGGAGCAGTGGATGAAGATATGCAGCGGAGAATCCTGGAAACTACCACTGCATGAGTGGATAGAGGGCTCCTTATAAGCGAGCACTAACCAAATGCCTTTGAGAGTATAGTCGTCAGGTGACAAGTAAGTCTTTCAAAAAGCTTAGCTACGTGCCGGAAAAGATCAATATCTTCACCCCAGCTTCTCGCATCTAATTTGACTTGACAATGCGGCGTCAAAGATCCTGACAAAAGATGGCAGTCAGCTTTGTGTTGATTGGACAGCATTGCCCCCCAGGAAAACGTCAACGTCTTGAAGGAAGATTTTCGATCTGTCAAGGCACTATTGCTTCCACTGCTGAATCCATGATAGCGCGCCAGATCCTCAGCAATTCGCAGTACTATCCATATTGCAGGAGTACGTCGGATTGGCACTTCTGATCATTGTCGTACTGCGCTTGTTCACCCCAGTCAATTGTTGCTTGATGTAGGTATTGAAAGTATGTTTGAGCCTGCATGCTTGCCGGGTTGACATGGGATTGACATCCCGAGTCTTGACTCAATCTGCAACATCGTAAGTATTAGGTTGTACCAACCATAACCAACATGTTCAGATGCTGACCTCATGAGGTTGTTGTCAGATAGTACCCGCCTTGGCGCGCTTCGTCTTCGAGGAGAATCTGCATTAGATGCTGCAGAGACATTTGTTGGTGTGGCAGGAGAAATCGGGGCACAAAAGCCTACACCTAATTCTACCTAATAAAATTCCTCTGAATTCACTAAGATTAGGTACAAATTGAACGCAATTTCAGGCCGCGCACGATCATTCTGCGCGGCGACGGTCCGGCGGCGTGTTCACATGTAATTCAAGCAGTAATGTGCGCGCGGATTCACCACGCGGGCACAGACACCGTCCAAAGTACACAGAGGTTGTATCGGACGGTCACAACTGCTCCCACTTTCGACCTGCGGTGCCAGCAGCTTTGAGAGCGGATTCATTGCCATCTTTGGACAATTCTAGTAGATCTACAGTTCCGTGTACCTAATTCAGGCTTCGCGCTTCGGCGTATCATCTAGTAGATGCGGTACCAGGAGATTCAGAAGCATTTCAGAAAGCATTTCCCTGTTACTCGAAAAAGCCTCGCTGATCAGCTGAACGATATTATTATCGTTATGCAGCAGATTACCTCAGGCTCAGGCTCAAAGCAGATCAAAACAAAGCAGGGGCAATCTTTGGAACCCCTTTGGAAGTTGCTCAAGATCAGACACAGCTTGCATGCTCGGATGCTGCCACCGTAGAATGGTATGTCAACTTCCTGGCCACAAGACAGATACTGCAAAGGCCTCAAATCTCTATAGTAAGAAGCGACGACAGCTTTCAATCGACTACTATTTCAAAATTCGACCAAGGCCAGCTCAATTTGGGTGCTATTCCATGACGCTGATCACAAAAGATGCCTGCAGCTTAAGAGTGCAAGCGGGCATGGACCAGCAGGGCGTCTTCAGCTTGCTTCCACTGGAATTGGTTGAAAAGATTATCAAACTTGTTCGAGATAAGCGTTCCATCTGCTCTCTCGGGCATGTGAAGGCTCTCACTTCCGTGAACAAGCTGATCCTCTCAGTGGATCAATTGAGCAGCACAAAGCTCACTCTCAAGAGATCATTCTTTGCAAAGAAGGGGGAGAGCGAAGCAACTCGATCGCAAAGGCTGCTAGAGGAGCTAAAGAAACGTCCACCAGTAGATTCTCTGTTCATCGAGGGCTATCCATGTCTGCAGAAGATTCTTGGATCACCTGGACATCTCCTCTACGCTGTGATTCAAAGCAGAGGATGGACGGAGTTCTCGCTAGGCTACCAACGGGAATTGAAACTGCCTGATTGCTTTCTCTGGAGATCGATCGAGATACTGAGAGTCATGAAGCTGAGTTCCTCCTCAATTGACGAGGAAAACATATACTACATCCTGTGGAACTTTCCCTCCCTCGAGAGCTTCAGCCTTCATGGTGACGTGATCTCTTTGGTGGAGCCAGATACTTCTGAAAGCTCTTGCTTTAGACTCGGGGCCGCTTGTGAAATTGACAAGCATGTACTTGCAGGTCGTCTTTCAAAGCTTACAAATTTGGACATGGGAGAGTTGGCCTCTCCTTACTGCAGTGGTATAGCATCTTCCCCTGAAATACAGAGCTTGAAGTTTATCTCAATCCATGATGTGGAACTGGACGGCACGATTCAAAGACCGAAGGGCCTGCGCCTGTCTTCGGTCCTGCAAAAGCTTGTCATCAAGTTGACCTACACAGTCAGTGCATCAAAATCTCTCCTAGCAGACATGCTGCAATGTCTGCCAGAGCAATGTCCAGAGCTTCAAGAGCTCACAATCGTAGGCCCTGAGGTGCAAGCTTGGGAAGCATCAAGCGAGAAACTAATCCTGAAAGCATGGGTGGTGGAGAAGCTTCTGAAAGGTTGTCAAAAGATTCAAAAGCTGATAGTGAAGCAGCATTACGGTGATTTCACAGCAGAAGAATGGGTCCGCATCTTAAGGGGACGAGACTTGGTGCACTTGTACGTGTGCAAGATCTCAAAGGATATGCTGAATGTCCTTGGTTCCATGTCGCGGTTGGAAAGTGTCGTGATTGAAGAGGCGCCAGACTCTGAAGAAGAAACCAGTTTGCTTGGACAATTGCTTGCAAGCAAGGCCAGCTTCAAGAGGCTCAAGATTGTTCAGTACCAACGCCATGACAAACAAGTGTCGAATCTTCGCAGGCTGCTCCAGAAACAATTTCGAAGAGATCAAACAGTGGAAGTAGTCAGAAATCAGTGGTACTACTTTACCCTCGATATTTTTGAGTAGCAAACCCAGTCACTTAGTCAAGATTGGCTAGGACCGCGGTACGGACAGCTACCAGAGCAGAGTGATGCGACTCTGGTAACACTCGGTGTCAGAGCAAGTATGACATATATAAAAAGTCTTTTCTCAAAGCATAATCACGAGGCAAATACGCCCACTGGCAGCTTGCAGGATCCGCGTGTAAACTTTAGGAAAAGCACAGAGATAATCATGGTGTCGCACTTTCATTTCGGTCAAGATTCAGAGAGCCGCGCTGCCGTACGTCTTACATGTAGCGAACAAGTTAATAGCTAGCACTCACAGGCGACAATGAGTTGGCAGGGCCAACGAGTGTTGTTCCTGATGATGTTTTTATTGATTGTTGCGTCTGTTAGAGATGTTACAAGACACCTTAAGAACCGATCCTCATAGCCTTTGATTGACCTGATTGACCTGGTTTGCCGAAGCGACTGCCGGACGAAGTGCTGCTTTCCGCTTCATCGCTATCTTATCATGAAACTCAAATTGAACAATGTAAGATTGACCGTTCATGAATTGTTGTCACTTCAAGCGATACGAAATCCGGATATTCCGAGGCCGAGAGCAAACCCTTCGTCGATAACGAGCCAGCGTCTCTCGGCCTCTCGAGTGTAGTCCTCACATAGAACTCATCACCCGATCGTGGAAGGTGCAACCAGCGCAAAAATGGCTCCGCTTGCTATAGCTTCTTGACATTCGACCTCGCTCGCTACGCTATTGGCGACTTGAACGTGCCTCACTTCAAAAGTCCCTACAGAGACAAAATGTCCACCCCTTCGCACTTACCCTCAGTTCAGCAATAAAGACCCAACGTATGCTTGTTTTAGGAACGCACGAAAGTTACTTGCCCCTGGGCTCCGATCAAACTACGCCAGTACTGTTCCGGTCCCTCACCTACAGCGGAGTCGCCCGCTAGTCCGTGCAGACGGAAAAGAATTACGCTCGTCTGAAACGAGTCTGTTGGCATGAGTGCAGTTAATCCCCCTTTAGACAAATGATCCCCATCATTCATTGAAGAGCCTCAAACGTCGGTGGTTCCAATGCGGCTCGAATAGGTTTGGAACGGGTCACGGGGGCAGACAAAGATTGGCACGAACAAGACCGGGGGAGGGTTGGCGTTTGAGAGCACGTGCAAGATATAAATTGACGCTCGCTGGCCTCAAAGGGATAAGCGAATCAGCTGTTCCATGTGCCTGGAAACGAGAAAGAAGACAAACAAGTTTGTCTTCTTCCGTTAGTGAAACCGTCTTGAACCGAATTACAAATCGATCAATTTCGAGACGCCCCACGTACGGTTCTGAGTTGAAGCTGTTGGCAAACCTTCGCATGACCCTTCACTTTTCTCAAACGATTCCGCAGAGCTCTCCTTGTCATCCGCCGGGGCTTCCGACGATCCGCCGGCGGCCGCCATGAGCGCCGCCCATAATATTATGTTTTGCTGATCAGTCAGCTGCTTATACACGTCCGACGTCAGCAGAGCCCCATTGGGAGCGAATACTTGCCATCCGCAAGACATCAGCTGCTGACGTGGGCGCCGTCCACAACGTGAAAGATGACATCAGCCTCAGGTCGGCAGTCGCGGTTCTCGAAGTCCGTTTCTAAGAGGGCCGGCCAAAGCGGCCGGCCGCCTTTGCAACCGCGCCGCGGTACGCTTGCAGTTGAACTACTCTTGCAGTCTTCCACAGACAAGCGGGGATGGCGCGATATGTTATGAATACGCCACAGACCTCTGGTGTACCCACAGAATAGGCCTGTGGGGATTTCACACCTTTGCATATTCCTACCTGCGTTTATTCACATCTATGCGTAATGACAGGCCCGTGGCGTATTCACACCTCAATGGTGGCTTTGCACACTTGCCTTTGGTGGTTCACTCTCGTTGCCATGACGCGGCTGATCTTGCATGGTCGGCTCGCCATCTTTCTCAGTTTGCACTTGTTTCTGCAACCACAAAAGGGCCAGTCCTTAAGTTCGTTCAGGTACTGAGGTGACTAAGTCAGAAGTAAACTAGAAAGACCAGGGAAACTGGCCATAATTCGTCAGTCGCGTGTATAAAGGTACGACAGAACAGCGAACTAGAAAGCAAACAGAGACACAAAACCATATTATATATCATTCTTTGAGTTGAAGGATCAGATTCAAAAGAGAGTGTGGCCTGCGAATACCAGGATTGCGACTTGCATCTGCACAACGTTTTGCCTAGAAAGCATAAGTACAAGGCAGCCGTTCATGTGATAGCCACTGTGCAACCTTCTTCTGCTTGTTGTCATGATACTTTTTGATCTTGGCCGCTTGGCTCCGCCTGTAGCGGTCCGCGTTCACTAGCTTCTTCTTCAGGTCGTCGATGATCGATGTGAAAGTTGAATTGAAGGAAGCTGCAAGGATTCATTTGCTAAAGCTGTTAAAGTGTTGTATATGACCCTTGCTTATAAACGCTCTGGTTGAAATACCAGTACAGGTTGAATCTTAACCCAAAACCATGACAGGTTTCGAAATTGAATGAGTTGAATGAATGAGTTGAATTGAATGAGTTGAATGAATTCATGAGTTCTAGGAAACTGATTATATTCAAGGAGCTCTTTCTGCAGTCACAAGACTCTAGGCAATCTACCTTTGAGACTTGCTAATCTGAAACCAAACAACGAGCAGAACGAGAATATTCCCAGCAGAGAAGATGCATATGCGATTTCAAATTCTTCCTACTGAATTATCAGACGCCACATGCACAGAGCAGACGGTGTGCTTACCTCTTGGCCACTTGTAGACGCTGCCGTCCAACCCTGTGACCTCACAACCTCGCTCATCGTCTTCCAGGATCGAATCAAAGATCTTGTCTCTCCATTCGAGATCCTGTGGATTCTTCTTGAGGTTGATGTTCCTCAGCCTCGTCAGCTCGGCTTCTGAGGGGATCTCTTTTGCCTTCGCTTCGTTAGGCATGTAATCACTCAGTCCTAGATCCGCTGCTACACGGCTGACCACACGAGCATGGAAACTCTGCAGCCTCCTGACCCCATTCTTTCCAACAAGCGTTGTATACTTCTTGCTGTGCCACAGCGTTTCGAACAACTTCGAGGCAGTCATTGGCGAGGTTGGAGCTGATCCCCTCTGCGACCTACCCTGAGCGCTGTTCCCTCCACCTGAATCATTCACTTGTTGAGAAAACTTCCCTTCCATGCTTTCTCTGAGAGGTTTACCATCTTGAACGCCTCTCTGCAGACCGACCGCAGCTTCGCTTCCTCCGTCTCTTGTTTCTCCAGCCTGAGCAAAAACTTCTCTGCCTGCAGCTTGTGATGAGAGCCAAGAATCTCTCAGCTCCTGCAGAATGGTTTTGTGACCTCTTTTCACTGCCAGTCCGCTGTCCAGATCCTTGAAATCTTCTATGAGATCGTCTCCTTTCTCCCCCTCTGCCAGGAAAACTCTTCCGGTGATTGCTTGGTCGATGATGAACTTGGTATACAGGTCGCATCCAAGCTCTTTTGAAATTTCCGCTGCAAATGCATGCTCGTCCAGAGCACGTACGCGACTCATTGTTGCACCTCTTCGACCTTACACAGGAGCGACGCGCATGCACGTGTCATGTGCTCCACCGAGCTTTACTCCACTTGCTTCGAAGCTCCTTCTTGAGAGTTCGCAAAGAAGCAGCTGCGCTTCTCAAAGACAATGACTCAATGGAAGCTCAATCGCTCAATCGCTCAATTGCTGTAAAATTGGAAATTGTGCCCTTTCAAACTTTCACGCGGGCTTCCTAAGGCAGTCTTGGCGCAGTTTGACTAGATACAGCTTTCCTCATTTTCGATATGGTTTCGAAAATCGGTTTGTCCCTGCCGGTTGTTGCCTGTCCAAACACTTGGTTAACCGACGTCAAATGGTATTATGCCTGTCCAAAACGAGAATTTACCGAAACCAGGTTTCCGATTAACCCCTATGTTGTCGATTGACGATATCGATCTTACAGCCCCTTTCGAGCGTCTTTGAGCACAGGATACACGGCAAAGATCATGCGCGCTCTTCGAAGTAGATGACGCGCACATGATCAGCAGAGGAAAGCGTCGCTGGCGCTAGCGGGGCTGTACCCCGAAGGGGGAGGTGCCTGTCGAAGGACCAGTCACCCTAAAATGTCGAGTCGTCTAGAGCCAGTTAACCCGGAGGGCAAAGTGTGGTGCACATGTCCATTGTGCAAATCAAGAGGGAGCAGAGAAGGACGGTTTGTTTCCGCTTCCACACGAAGAAACCACCGTGCGCGCGAGAAGGATGTCGATGCCGGAGCACATCTAGAGCAGCTGCAAGAAGCGCGAGGCTCAGAGAATCAAGATTGGGGGGGTGATGGGGGAGGTGAAGATCAGGGATGCCTTGAAACGGAAAGGCGCTCCAATGATTCTGAGGAATCGTCAAGATCCAGAAGCAGCAGCGGAGCTGAAAGAGTCGGTCAGCGAGCAAACGTTGAAAGCTGGTTTACAGGCGGGCAACTGCCAAACTTCGAGCTTGCAGATGATATCATGGATGAAGGATCAGAACGGCAAGCAAATGGACCAGCTTCCGTCTCTGATGTTGAGCTGAAGATCATGGACTGTCTAGTTGACCTAGTGAAGCTTGGAGATGTAGCAGGGCTCAGCAACGAGACCATGGACAAGCTAGTGAAACTATGCATGTCCGCGACCGACTCGATTGCTGCGGCGATCGACCCTCATTGGAAGGAAACGGTGAAAAGGCTGGGTTTGCCACAGTCCCATGACCAGGTAGGGCCCCTCTCTCCGTTTAAAGAGGCAATGATACAATACTTATGTAATCTTTCCTTCACCTATTCGTGTCTCATCAATTTGAAAACTCAAAGTCAATGTTGTCCGTTTGAGTTTTTGTCAATATTAATCCAGTTTTGAAGTGCAAATCAGCTGCAAAGTTCCTGATAATCGCGCGAGACTCTGTAGAGAAAGTTCTCTCAAGAACTTCCCGAATAACAAACATTCACTCGAAAATTCTCTTCAAGAACTCTCAATGATGATCTCTTCAATTGAGCCGTCTTCCCGCAGCTTGTCACGTGTCCTTTGGAAAGATTCGTAACAGAAATTCGAGCTCCCTATACTCGTTTCTGATTTCAGAGTCCTCAAGGGGTTGAAGCTTAGAACTCTGCTTTCTGAGTCGCTAGCCACCCCCCCAAAGTCCCTTGTCAGATCCCCCGGCCAGCCAGCCGGTTTTGTCAGTAAAACAGCCATCTCGCAACCTCCTTTTTCGTCCCGATTCCATGCTGTTCTGCTTTCTAACTTTAAAATCGTGTTATGCATCGGCCAGTGTACATGTCTAGTCTCCGAACAGCCGATCCATGAGTTTTCTATTCTCCGAACAGCTGATCCATGACTTGCCTTGAACGGATTCACCACAAATTAACCCTGAGATTTAGCCTCCGCAAACCCGCATCTGTGACCCCACGTGGGGTGCACCCTGCAGTTTTCTCCCCTCACCGGTTTTCGACCTGCCGCGCTGACGTCATACTTTGAAGTTTTGAGTGTTTCTCTTTTCGCGTGTCTTCCCCAGTATCTA